ATATAGGTAGTACTTTATTGCCTCATTTACATAAACACACTGTCTCAGCCACACTGCACCTGCAACCATATCGCACGTGTGAATTTATAGCTCCCGTGACTATAATAATATTATAGGTAGGTACCCATGTGTTATTATATTATCTAAACATTACACGTCATTGTTGTGTCCGCTATATGTGTGGTATTAAGACATATTATAATTTATCCTTAGATTATGAAATAATGTATTATCGATAAAAAAAAAAATAAATAAAAATGAAAACAAACACTTGTTGACGACGAAACGCGCATACCTCCTCAGTAATATATTATTATATCTCATAATATAATATATTATTTGGAAAAGAGTTTAAAACGACAAATTAATAAAATTATTATAATATATTATTATCTTTACCACACGCATCGTGGCTAAAATATTGTCAAACGTTAATTTAAGGTTTATAAGTGTAAAATAATAATGAAATTCTTGTTAGGTATTATATTTTATTATATTTTTTTCTATGTAGTTTGGTCGAGTAATGTACTAATATATATTATCATATACATATATATATAATATAATGATTGACTCAATCATGACAATTTAATGAAAAGCAAAAGTGGTGTGTACATTGTCTGATCGCCGTAGTGGCGCTGATAGAAACTGTGATTAATGCGTGACGACTGAAATCATTACGCGAAGTTATCTCTTTTGTTCCTATGTTAAGACCTGATTTACGATTTTTGGGGCCATAAATATTAAGGTGCCAATATTAAAGCAAAAAAAAAGTTATACAATATACAAGCAACAACTAACTAAAAAACAAAAAAATACCTCGTTCGATGATATTATTATATAGTATGAAATTATAATAATATTGTTCCCTACAAGCCTCATTTTTTGGATCCTGTCATTCACCACAAAATATCGGTTTCGTTTTTTCTCGACATAATTTCCGTTATAGACGATATTTTCTTGCTTACATATTGTCCTCGAATCGCGTTGGAGTGGAATAAAACACGTTACAAGTCCGATCGCGAACACAGGACACGGGAATACCCTATACGGGAATGGTAATAATACTTATTATAATATTGTGTATATTATATTATTACAACTAGCTGTACTTACCTTACCCAAATTCATATTATGTCATTCATATCGAAAGGAAAAATATATAATACCACGTTCGGTGTATTTCTGTTTGACTGGTTCGAGTGTACCTACCTATAACTCCGTCAGGGCAAAAATGAACTACAATATCATTAAAATTGTTTTTAACTTGATTGTAAACTATAGATTTTTTGATAGAAAATAGTAAGTTAAAAGTTGAAATTTTTTTAAAAAATCGCTGTCACTAAAACCAGACAGATGCCACCGGGCACTGGTGTATTCCTACATCATCGCTTAATGTTCCGGGGACAGGAGTATGGTCAAAAAAAATTAAGCCAAAACCCTCGTGGGAAAACAAAGCTATCCAACAGCGAAAACCCCATTCAAATACATTCAGTAGTTTTTAAGGTGAAGAATATATCAACGCTTAAAAGCAACTCTCATTTTTAATAGTTCCAATTTTACAAACTACAACGGATACTCGTCGGTTTAAATGTATCTACTCTAGTATACACACAATGCACATGCAGTAGTCATTTTGAAAAATATGAATTATGGATGTAGAGACCAAGGGGAAGGACGAAACTGATTCTTATATCAAAACGTTGTTAATACTGGAGGAAACGAAAAACACCTACATAAATTATAATAATTAATTGACATCAACTTTAATATTTGCGACGTTGTTTTTAATAACCATTATTATTGTTAATGTTATTATATTATACGCAACGCAACAATTACTCGTAGGTTGCATCGTTTTACTACATGCGTGTACGCGTGTTTTATGCGATGGTTGTTTATGATTTATACAAAAAGAGTTGTTGCCTGTTGGAAAATATAATAACATAGGTATACTATACATACATATTATGATATATTATATTATTTTGCATGTATAAAAGCTTAAAGAATATTTTGAAACAATATGGCGTTAAATATTACAAGTATACCAACACGGTATTCATACGCTTTTTTTTCTAGAATATTATCATTAATGATTGTTATTATTATTATTATTATTGTGATATATAATATACAATATTCATAATATGCCTAATCATATTTATAAATATACACTTGTACTGCGATGAAGTGAGTACACTCATACTTATATAAGTACATAGGTAACGATATTGAACTTGCGTCGTCGCGTCCTTGGCCAACGCGCTCGAGTGCGTGACTAATGCACTTTATTCAAGCTGTATTCCGACGAACCAAAATCGACTCTCTATAATAATTTATAATATTGTAATATTATAAGATTTAAGTGAAAACACTGGCGGATGTTATAGGTGTATGACGATATTGGTAGTTGGTACTATATAGTAATATATGTGTGTTTGTGTGTACAAGTGTATTATATATTATTAATGTTGTATAATATACTTTTTTTTCGTGTGATACAATCACAAATAGGCTAATACGGACCTATTATGGTTTTATGGCATACATTATACAATTTAAATTAATTTTAAAAAGACTTAAAAAATAATCTTTAATCTTCAGATGAGATAAATAAATGAGTAGGTAAAATTAAGGTAACATAGTTATCACTTATCAGTATAATAGGGCAGAGGACTTATAGCATTTACATATAATATATTTGTTTTGCACAGTCACAACACACAAAAATAGCAGAGTACGAAACAAATAAGTTTCATGCTTTCACAAAGCTAGTTTTGAAAAGTATTTTGCTTATAAAGTTATAAAAGCATATTTTGAGTTTTTTTTGTTTTTAGGGCATATTTATTCTATTTTATATTTTAGGAGGTATATAATATATTTTTAACTTAATTAATTTTTTACTCCACTGACGTTTTTAGTTTAATAGTACAAGTTTTATTTTACAGCCAAAACATAAATATTTTTAATTTTTGTCCAATAATATGGTTTTTATTTGTCTCCATACTTACGTTTTTTTTTAGAAACACTTGAAGGTAGATAGATAGAACTATTTACCGTATAAATGCATATTTGGTGACTTTTTATCGCTACAAGTCCTTCGCCCTAGTTATCAAATCATTTGGTAACAGTTCGATTACATTTAGTGTTGTTGCAAGTAAATCTTCTTTTGGACAGGAGAATGATAAACAAGATTCAGTTTTCAGTAGCCAGTGTTCCATATTATTTTATCGATGCCGCAGTCGTTTCGTTTAGAGTTGTCTTGGAGATGCTCCATTTTATTACTTATAGTCTTTGGATCTATCTACTCAAACTCTGAGCCTGTTTACTGTTAAGGGATCTCTAGGTCGGTCAGTTAAGTTCATGTCCTGGTAGGAGGGACTACATTGTTTCAATTTAAAGCAGCAGTGTCGAACACGTGGCCCTTGGCTCGTTTTTTTGTGGCCCACGGATATCAATATTAATGAACAATTAAAAAATTTAAAAAAAAAAACAATTATTAAAAAAAAATTAAACAATTTTCCTTTTGTGTGACAACTATATTAGTGAAATGTATTCATTATTTTACTTTTCTGTATTATTTTCGGATAAACTGTAAATGAATAAATATTGTATTTAGTAGGTGTAACGAATAAAATTAAAAATGTGTATACAATTTTTTTCGATAAATGTTTATGTGTGACCCTTATTATAGTAAACTATTCAATATAATATTTGGCCCAGTTAATACTTTGAATTTGACATGCCTGATGTTGTAAAGCATATTGTTGTCGATCGAGAGAGAGAGAGATATAGTTTCCATTTTACTCTCTTCAGGGAGATTTTCCGGGGGCTTTGTAATTTTAAGAAAACTCTTCCCGAGTTGGAAATTTTGTATATATTTGTAAATGCTGTGCACATGAGTGTCGTATGTTTATTTCAGATTAACACCTATTCCCAGTCTTCCCTGCGGATGTTCGGTAGAACAATGAAAGCGAGTTGGTGGTTTTTTGGAATTGGGGTATGTCCTTGAGACAGTCTATTACTTGTCGGCAAGATTCGGTCATGTTGCGTCTACCTGTTTTGTGAATAAAGACCTGCTCCACATGGGGCTGGTGAACTCTCCAACGGAAAAGCAAGTGACAAGGCACATATTCGTTAAATCTGGGAATTTTCTCCCGTGCTATATCGAGCCTTAGGGTTTGAAGGCCATACACACATAGAAATACTATTGTTGATTTAACTTTTTACAATGTTGTTGACAGTGTAGTTGTTAATTAGACAAATTTTGTATTTGAATTAACACCAACAGGAGTATATTTAAACTATATGGTTTGACTATAGTTAATATTAAAATAACAATATACATATTATTATTTCAACTTATTAATATAGTTAATTTGAATATAATCTTGTTAATATAAAACCTTTATACATTGAAAATGACATGGCATGTAATTATCTTAGCAATTATGATTTGTTCATTTTAACCAGCTAATAAATGATTCATTTTAACCGCAATTTGAGTTGAAATTGGCAATGCGCTGTTGTTATTTCAACTTTAATAGTGTTGTTTTAATCAGGGGCTGATGTTATCAATGATTGTTGAATTATTATTGTGTTAATACCTATTTTTAGCGCGAAAGAAGAAAACCACAAAATCGATACCAATTTGTAGACTAACTAGTTTACTCGTTTGCTTATCAGTGATTAAAAGCCTTTATAAGTACGCTACTCGCATAGTCGAAAATCGCAATTCTCTTCATAGTATTGTTGAGTATAGACTTGTAAGTTGTTTTAGTCAATTAATACAGTTACAACTTACATTGCATGATATAACTGAAGGGGTGGCAAGATATGATATGTCAGTTATTATTAACCACTTGATAAATCTTAAATATTTTTCACTTGAAGATCTAAATAACCGGATAATATTATTTGAATACGGAGTAACTGAGCGTAAAAATTGTCCACCACCAATAATTAACCAAAATCATTTGAGAAATGGATGTATAATAATGTCATCATCTGAAATGTTGTGTTTTGTGCGATATTTTGGTCTCATTGTCGGTGAGTTGGTTCCAATGGAAACAGAAATTTGGAAATTATATATAGTTCTTAGAAAAATTATTGATATTTGTTGTGCTAGGGTACTTCAACCTGAATGTTCTCATCTACTTGATGCATTGGTTTCTGAACATAATCGATTATATTTATATTTTTCCAATTGTTCATTGAAACCAAAATATCACATTCTTACACACTATGGTAGACTTCTTCTTGCAAATGGTCCGATTTCATTAACTTCTTCACTAAGATTTGAGTCCAAACATAAAGTGTTAAAAGCATTTGCAAATGCAATACCCTGTCGTATCAATCTTGGCTATACCTTAGCACATAAGCTCCAGTTACAAATGGTCAATCGTTTTTTAAACCAAACAGGGATAAACCCTGACTTATTAAAGGTAGGATCGTGCAAAAACTTAAATACTTTTGATGAGTTTAGTACTCAATTATTTAATTTTTTACCTATCGAATTAAAACATGTAGTAACTTCAGCACCTTGGATAGAACTTAGAGGAATTTCTTACAAACCAGGTATGCTTGTAATTTTGGAAATCAATTTAAACAATTGTATATTTGGAAAAATAATAAATATTATTCTTGGTAATTCAAGAACTCCATACATAGTGTGTGAGCTTTTTCTTACTGTCGGGTTCGACTCTCATTTCCATGCATATGAATTAACGAAATATGATGAAAAAGAAAATAATCTAATAGGTTGTTATATAAAAGATTTACCTAATTCGACGCCTACAGTTCTTAGAGTTTTGGGAAATGGTAGTATGTATGCGTCATTAAGATATGCACTATAATTTTAATTTTTAATTGTAATAATTGTATTTTTTTTGTATTAATTTTATACTATGTAATATAATAAATATACTTACCTTTAACTATTAAAATAATTATGTAAACATTTTTCTTATGATTAAAAATATAATATTAAGAATATTACATTCTTATTTAAAGCTAAACACATGAAATGCAATATTATGTAAAATTATATTATAAAAACATTCTCTTAAATACCATGTTTTTGTATGTTTCTATCATATGAATAGGTAGTCGATAGGTAGGTAGGTATGATTAACAACCCGGGGATAGCGAGTTCGAATCCGAGTTGGTCGAATGGCTGTACCAATAAAGCCGTACTCCGAATTTCGCATTTTTTTACAAATTATTTTTAAAATAAATTTATAAAATATTTACGATAACATTAGATTGGTGTTGTTTTAAAATATTTGGCTATATCTTAAAATAAAACATAGAACACTCAATATAACAAAAAGCTTGTAGTTAATATAAAATGTGTTGGTGTAGATTTGACAACTAATATGATAGTAAATCTAACTACTTATGGAATTTAATATAACCAATAATTGTTGTTATTTTAACCTAATTTAGAAGTCAAGACGACCAAAATAGCGGGATAATTTGGGAATCACGCTTAACAAACTACTGATGTTGTTTTAACACCAAACCAACCTTAGTCGGAATATAACGTGCACATGTGTATGAGTTTAACTCAAATTGGTGTTGAAACTACAATAGTTTTCTATGTGTGTAGGAATCTCGCATTGATTAAAAAAAAAACATTTAAGTAAAAATAGTAGGTTTAGTAAAAAACAATATGGACATTAAGCATTGATTTTTTATTTTTCTCCTTTTGTAGTGTACGTAGGTGTGAATTGTTAGCCCATACACCTCTGTTCTAAGACTACTTCTAGGGTCTAGATTCTAGATTATTAATTTAAACGAACATTTTAGAATTTTTAACCTCGTATTTAACGGGGTACAGCTAGTTTTTCAATGAAGGGCCAACTCCACATGATCTGTGAACACCCGCAGTGCTGTTGTCTATACGGCTACTGCTGCACTCCGGCAATCGTTATGAATTTGTGATGTAATATAAGACTTAGATATAATATGATATTATACATTTATATACTTAACGATACAACTTGCAGAAATTGTGATACATTATTATTTATTATATTAAACTCGATGTCGATGGTTGAAGTTTATTACATTTAAATATAATATGGGCGCTGCATAGTTATTATTTTCACCATGACCAGAGTGACGTCATTAATTGGCATAAACCTATGTGTATCGAATGTGAGCAAATTACGAGGACTTTCACTCCACAGTAGTCTATGTTATACACTTAATATTTACACACAAACGCATAGGCGATGGGTAGGGGGTACATAAACACGATGCTGGACATCACAGTGTAATTCAACGTTCGACGATCAATGTGTTGTCAACCAATAATAATATGAAATAAAAATCAAAATAAAGTATAAAAAGGGGCTCTGCTGTACAGTAGGTTACAAGTGGGTCACTGTATAATGGATGGCATTAAATTTGAATTCAATGATGTAATAGGTAATTAAAATTATGAAATTATACATTCACTCACTGTTCTCATATCTATTATACCACGCTTAGATATTATGATGTATTAATCATTAATGTATGCTTCTATGCTAGTATAATATAAATTAAGAATAAATATCATTAATATGATATTGGCTGTATATTCTCTATATTGTCCTAAAATGAAAGGACCCAAATATGAATCAGGTACCTCAGTTACCTGAATTGTATACAAAATTATTCATCAATCCTTTATATTTTTTTAATTCATTGTTTTGAACATTTTTCTCCGTCTTTTAGATGCAACACTTTCAAATTGTCTGTTAGACGTGTTTTTTTTTCAAAAGTCAATAAAAGATAGTGTAGGTAGGTACCTAATTTTTATTTTTAATAATCAAATGAAAAATCAATATAATAGAGTAGGTACACAAAAATAAAACTGACAAAAGTACAAAATAACATATCTGAAACCAATAACACTGCATCAAGGCGAAGGCGTGTCCGTAAATCATAATCCATTTATATTAAACAATAAATACATATAACCATGGTTACATTATTAGTTTGTCCAGCAAGATACTGCACTAGCTCGAGTTCACGAGCCTCTGAGATTAAATATATAGTACGATTAGGTATACGAATATAGTATACGATGCATAAGTACTATATAATATAATTAATGAGTATACAAATAAATATGTAAAACAAACAATAACGCAATGATAAATAGTATTACTTATCTAAAATTCAAACCGTCCAAAATAAATGGTTGTCACTTGTCAGTAACATCTTAAAATAATAAAATTTGTTCATTTTATAATAAAAAGTTATAGAAGGTTAGAAAATTTAGGACTTTAACCTTAGGCCCCTAATACAACCTTGGTCTTGAGGCCCCGGTGCAATGCACCCCCTGCACCCCCGCTAAATCCGGCACTGATAATGGATGGTATTAAATTTGAATTCAATGATATAATATCATTGTATAAGAAAAACGATTCTGAGTGGAGACGGTATGTCAGTCTAGGTATAAGACATATATACTTATCGATGGTATTAAAAAAAAAAATTACCTATTATAAATTCCAAATTAATCATATCACAATATTCATTAGGTACTTAAATGTGTTTTACATCAATAACAAACCCTGATACTATCATAGATATATAAAAGTATACTTTAGAAATTTCAAGTACCCACGAATAATAATATACAATCACAACAAAATAACTAAAATAGTTATTCTAGGTTTTTTAATATGTAATTTCATAAAAATATGAACTTAAAATGACAACCATAATATTTTAAAAAAGGCAATGTTAATATAAACAGTCAGTAAAAATGTCATGTATCTACGGTAATTTGTTTTAGAGTTACACCAAAACCGAAATCGATTTTCTCAAAAACAGATTTTGCCTAATAATTCTCGTTTTTCCTTAATTTTTCTTTCGATTTTTAAGTCACTTTTGAAAATTACTGGAAAATTTTTACTTTTGACCCCCCCCCCCTTAAAGTACCAACTAGATTCACTTTCCTATCAGAAAAGATACTGTTGAAAAAAATCCAAGCACTTTTACTATCCTAAAAGGTGGTGACAGACACAAAAAAAATTTAAAAACAAAAATAAAAACAAAAAACACACATCATTGTAAAATCAATACATTCATCGTTCCGCTCAGAATCTAAAATATTGTACTTCTAAATCGCCTTCGACGTAATAATTCGGCAATAGGGGACAATATTAATCTAAGGAAACTAGTCGTACGTCGTCTACAGATCACTCCGAAAATCCATCGCCTCGGGCACATATGAATGGGTAATTACTATTTATTACCTAGTCACATACAAATACATAATAGCCGTAATAATATAATGAATATAATAAAGACGAATATATTAATAATAAATATTAATAATTATGTGAGTAGGTATAATAAAATAATATTATTATTATTGCGTTTGCGGACCATGACAATTATAATAATTAATAACAATTATACAACAATATATAATATTACTATGCTCATTTCACATTTTTACGAATTTACGATGAGATTATGCGGTTGGTAACATTATTAAGATGATATCCGTCGATACGATCTGCACCATCATCACCACCACTACGACTCAGCACTCAGCAGAGATTTTTGCTTATCGATTTTATGTTTGCGGACGACTTGTGCGTGTCGCACAGCAGGAAATGGAAATCCGAAGAAATTTACATTTGCGCTTTGCCGCGTGCGCATTGAAATTTACAAATAATAGACTCGCGTATGACATAACCAACGCTAGCTCGCACTTCCGTCCACTGCTCACCATAATAAATATATCAATATATTATACACTATTGTACCGCGTAAAGGTTTTTTTCTCACACAAACCCATGTATCACTATCGATGTATTACTTCCGGAAATTGTGCGGAAATCCGCATAATATTATAATTATAATAGTTTTGTTTCCTCGCAGAAATATTACTGCTGCGCGGGTGGAACAGCAACAGGTCGGTTTCCGACGTTGACAGTACCTTTACGTATTGTTTAGCCAAACATTTGAATCTTTCAGTTGAACACTTACAGAAATGACCAGAAATTCGCTTTGGTAAAAACCACGTGGTGTCTTTCTGGTTTTTATAGATGCTTCTATAATATGATGTTGAAAAATGGTATAAAATATAATGTTCATAATAATTTTTAAATTCTTGGTATACCTAACATTGAAATGGCCTATAATATATTGTATGTGATGCACCACTGCACCAGTCGAAGTATTGTATGGTACAAGTATGAATATTGGTTATTAAGAATGCATAAGACAACAACTAACCAGTCGACAACATGCATTTTTTACCTATACGTATATCATTAGATAAATCGCATGAGGTTGATGTAAATAATTTTTTTTTTAAATTTGAGAAGTTATACCATCAGAATAACTTATAAGAATTTGTTAGATTGCCAAGATCGATCATATTTAATGGTTATTATCATAGTTTTGTTTTGTCGTTACACTTCCCCACGTTTATCTACCCGAGTGGATAATTATACTGTGCGTCTGTGCTCTTACATAAATAATTCTACCTGTTGATTATTTACCAACGATATCTTTCAACACTTCCTGATATAATAGTACAAAATTATGCATAAACCATGTGAATTATCATTTTTCACGAACGATTTACCTGGGAGTACCGTGAAATATTTATTTTTAATCATTATTTTAAGCATACAAGTGTAAGAATGTTGTTTTTTGACATAGAAAAATTTCTAAAGATTTCAGTTTTGGGCTACTTGACCAAGTATTAATTTATATGATAAAATATTTATCCTAATGGTCACATACGTACATAGTCACATTTATGAACAACGGTTTCCACCACCCCTATTTTACACCTAAAATTTCAATATCGAAGTGTACCTATAGTCATATCATG